AAGTATAACTACTACCCTGTCAGTTAACCATGTTACAGTGGACTTTCTCTAGGTGGTTTTATTTCAGGTTATACAATTTCTTAGGTGTAATACATGGATTAATTGTCATTTAAACTAAGCTGTTTGGTCTTGAAAGAGGCCCTTAGGCTTGCATGACCTTGTTTGTGTACTAACCATCTTGGCAAGCATAATTTTGGGCCCTGTTTATTGGCCTTCTTGTTCCCTGCCATTTGAAAATCACTAGTTTTTAGATCAAAAGGTAGAAGCTTTTTTTTCCTCCTCTGTTCTCCATCAAAGGAATTAAGTTTTACTCTGTTATCCTAGTAATGTCAGCATTTAGAAAGTCAGGGTATTAGATTTATCCTAATATCTGGTCACCAAGGAATGAAGAACATTTATAGATATGTGATGTTAACTTAGATCTGAAGAGTCGTATTTGTTCTGAAATCCAAACATAAAGACTAAAGTAATACATGAACGTTTTAAAAACAAAGTAGAAAAGGAAAAATTGAACAGAAGTTCATAAAATGCAAAATAAAATGGTAATAGACTGCCACTTTTAACAGTTTCTATTTATAATAATTTTATTGGTTACACCACTGTTGCTGTAAATATGTTTACCACAATTTCTTGATTTTTTTTTAACGTTAGATAATACTGTTGACACCCTGTTATGAAAATGAGGAATATAGGAGACTTTCATTTCTTTCTGCCTCTCTCATTTCCCCTCCTTTCTCCATTTACCAATTTCTGTAAATTATTTTATCATTTTTGGTTCTTCTGGGAAGTTACCTTTAAAACTAAGTAATATAGTTAAACCTCTGTGTCTCAGTCTGTCAATTTTAGCACTCCACCATGAGATTATATTATCCACCCGTCCTGCCTCTACTTACCTGGTAGGTCAACCTTTCCATTGTTTTTACAGTATCAGGGTCTGTAACAGTTACATACTCTTCCTTAACTATGATAGTTCATTTTTATTATGGTTTGATTGTAAATATTGAAAAACTAGTAAATAGCATATACAATACTATGAATTTTTTAGCTTTTAAATGTAAAACCAGAGTATGATGATTTTCATAGACAAGGAAATGGAAGACTAACTGGAATGAAAAAGTTTCCATTGTCAATGTCAAATAGATTTTTTTTAATATTCCATCAGTTGATTAAAATTATGCTCCATTTTAATATTGTATTATATGCAAAGTATCGATTTCTTGTGTTTTTTTTAACCTTCTTTAGAAATTTATGGTTAACTTGTTTCTAGTTTGTTGTGGATGCATTGGTTGACACTGAGTTGGGCTGACATGAATGTGGCCAGCAGTTTAAGTTTGAATTACTAAGAAGTTCTTGCTTCAGCAAATGTATGTCTATGCATGTACATATATAAGACACCCTGAATATTTTAGGTTTTTAAATTAGTTGTCTTGCAATTCACATAATTTCACAGTAAATACAATATCCAACATAGGAAATGGTTTTTTTCCTGGCATTTTATGTATAGTCAAGTCTTAATGTTTTTCTTTTACTAGTTTTGGTTTTTTGAATGTCAGATGCTTTTGAGTTAACACCATAGAATCCTTAGTTACTGACAGGTTGACTCTTGTTTTGCCATGTATCTGCTACAAATTAATTAGCTTACTGTGATCTAAAATTCAAACAGTTAAAATACTGTGGTTTTGTACTCATATTATCCCTGGCCATATTTGAGAATATTAATAGCATCTGTTAAGATCCTAGTTCTTCCAGGTGTCTTCTCTTCTGAATTATTTACTTTGTGTGCATTTTAAAACCAAATGTCTTTAAAATCCACTAAAAACTCATTAGAACTAATAGGTGAGTTCAGTAAGGTTGCAAGATACAGGATTGGTATACAAAATTGTGTTTCTATACACTTGCAATGAACAATCCAAAAATGAAATCAAGAAAATAACTTGGAATAACATAAAAATAATAAAATACATAAGTATAAGTTTAACCAAAAAAAAAGCACAAACCTTACATTGTGGAAACTATAAAACATTGTTGAAAGAAAGAAGACCTGAATAAATAAACATTCTGTGTTCATGGATTGGAAGACTTAATACTGTTAAGATGGCATTACTCCCCAAATTAATCTGTTCAGCACAATCCCCATCAACATCTCAGCTGGCTTCTTTGCAGAAGTTGACCCTAAAATTCAAAAGGAACTTTTAGAGACCTAAAATAGCCCAAGCAATCTTGAAAAAGAAAAACAAAGTTAGAAAACTCATACTTCGTGATTTCAGAAGTTATTATAGATCGGGACAGTAATACTATCTCATCAGGATACACATATAGATCAATGGAAGTCCAGAAATAAACCCTCACAATTATGGCCAATTGATCTTTGACAAGGGTGCTGAGACAATTAAATGGGGGAAGAAAGAGCTAAAGCTATAAAACTTAGAAGAAAAGGTAGGCACAAATCCTTATGACCTTGGTTAAGCAATAGTTTTAGATATGATACCAAAAGCACAAGCAACAAAAGAAAAAGATATAAGTTGGACTTCATTAAAAATTTAAAACTTTGGGGCTTTGAAGAATACCATCACGGAAGTGAAAAGGAATCCCACAGAGCAGGAGAAAATATTTGCAAGTTATTTGAATAAGAAATTTGTATTCATAATATATAAAGAACTCTTATAATTCAGTGGTTAAAAAGATAACCCATTTAAAAATAGGCAAAGGATGTTTTTCCAAAGAAGCTACACATTTGAATGGCCAATAGGCATGTATGAAAAGATGCTCAACATCATTAGCCATCAGGGAAATGCAAACTAAAATCAAACCATCCTGAGATACCACTTCATAGCCACTAGGATAGCTGTAATTAAAAAGATGAGAAGTGTTAGCTACAATGTATGTAAATTGGAACCCTCACACTGCTGCTGGGAATGGAAAATGGTGCAGCCACTTTGGAAACCAGTCTGCTAGTAACTCAGCAAGTTAAGCCATATGATCCAGCAGTTTTGCTCTTAGGTTTGCACCCAAGAGAAATGAAAACATATGTCCACATAAAACTTATATATGAATGTTTATAGCAGCATTATTCAAAGTGGAAGCAACCCAAATGTCCATCAACTGATTAACTGATAAAATGTGATACATACTATATACAATGGAATATTATTTGACAATAAAAAGAAATGAAGTACAGTTGATCCCTGAACAACATAGGGGTTAATCCAATTATACCTTAAGAGTTGGCCTTTCACATCCATGGATTCAACCAACCACTGACTATGTAGGACTATAGTATTTACTGTTGAGAAATAGTTCAAACTTGCATTATTCAAGAGTCATCTGTACACTGATAAAACCTTCAAGTGAAAGAAGCAGTCATAAAAGACCACATATTGCATGATTCCGTTTATATAAAATGCCCTGAATAGGCAATTCTGTAGAGACAGAAAACATTAGTGGTTACCTAGTGCTAGAGAAGTTGGAGAAAGACGGGGTGGGACTGCTAAATGTGTATAGGTTATCTTTTGGGGATGATGACAGTGTTCTAAAATAGACTGTGGTGATGGTTGCACGGTTCTGTGAATATACTGAAAACTATTAAATTACACACTTTAAATAAATGAATTGTACATGAATTATATCTCGAAGCAGTAAAAATGTATTTTATTGCCTCTGTAAAGTCATAGGAGTTCTTTAAAGTTCCTCATATCTCACACATTAAGATAGGCTCTCTACTACTTATTTCCTACTTGGTTCAATTACAGTTCTTTGCTCTGTATGTTGTTAGTAATATATAATTTAGAAGTAGAAAGCTTGCTTTTTTAATCTTGCACTTTTTTTTAACCACCTCACCCCCCAGAGTTTCTAAGCTTGGTGTATTACAGAACTCAGAATAATCTTGTTCCAGCTTGCAAGTTGAATGTTAGTAAGAACATCTCACAGCGAAATCTCACCCTTCTGAAACCTAGCCATGAACAAAAGTGAGGGCGACACAAGAAATCCATCCACTAAGTGCAGAATCCATCCACCCTTTTTCCAACCCTTTGTTCATTGGAAAGCAATCAGACCCCTTCCAAGCCTATTTGCTCTTATTTTACATAGCGTTAAATTAAGCAGGTGACCAGTTTCTAAACCCAACAGATTAGATGCATCAAGGTAAAATGGGTGTAAAGGGGGTGTGCTATAGACTGAATTATGCCCTTCCCATTCATGTATTGAAGCACTAACCTCCACAGTGTAATGATATTTAGAGATGGGGGCCTTGGGAGGTAATAAGGTTAAGATGAAGTCCTGAGGTGGGGCCCTCATGTTGGGATTAGTGCCCTATAAGAAGAGACACCAGAGAGCTTGCTCCCCTCTCCCCCATGAGAGGACACAATGAGATGGTGTATGTTTACACATCCAGAAGAGAGCTCTCAGCAGAAATAGTTGATACTGGCATCTTTCAAGAACTGTGAGGAAATACATTTCTGTGTAAGACACTCAGTCTATGGTACTTGCTAAGACATGGAAGAAAGATGGTTCATAGCCTAATAGTGAGGGAGGAGACAAAGGAACCATGGTGGGGAGGGGCACAAGCACAGCCTTGCCAATCTGTATCCTGTACAGTGTAAGGAAAATACAGTGTATTACAGTTTGAGAGCATCAACTGAATAGGCCCTGAGACTTCTTAGGTCACAACATAGTATAATAAATGATTTTCATAATGACCCTGATTCATCAAGAAGGGGCTGAATTGTTTTCTGTTTAAGGTGGTAGAAAGTTTTAAATCTGTATTTGAAAATTTTCTGTTCAAAATAATTCAGATTATTCATTTTTTGAAAGTTAAACTGTTTTTTGTTCTCCAGAATGATTCATTCCTCATAATTTCAGATGCCTTTTTGAGTTGTTACTATGTTCTTATTTCTCAAAGCACCCTCCAAAGAAGATGAAGGTAAATTTCTACTTTTCTTACCCTAAAATTATGCTTGAAACAGGATGTAAAACTTCTGTCTTCTTTAAACCCTGTTTTCCAGGAACCCGAATCATTTATGATCGAAAGTTTCTATTGGATCGTCGCAATTCTCCCATGGCTCAGACCCCTCCCTGCCATCTGCCCAATATCCCAGGAGTCACCAGCCCTGGCACCTTAATTGAAGACTCCAAAGTAGAAGTAAACAATTTGAACAACTTGAACAATCATGACAGGAAACATGCAGTTGGTAAGAGAATGCCGATATTGAAGACCAAGTGGTAGTCCTGGGATTCGAGTGTCAGTCTGCTGTAGGTTGAAAAAATGTTGATGCTTCATAACTGACGCTCAGTTGTATGTCTCTAAGGTTCCCACCTCACCCCACTCCCATCACCATGACTTACTGAAATGTTCTAGCAACCCTGAGTTCTAAAGCATAATCAGATCTAATCTAGGTAGGGGGTGAAGAAGAATGCAAAATCAGGGAATGGTAAATCCCAAAGATGACTCCTTGAAACTGGTCTTTGTTGGACTAGGGATAACCCACACACAGAAATGTAACAGAATTGAATAGCCCTCATTTCCATCACCTTTGGGAAATAGACCTTGTTTCTTAAAAGAAGAATGTCCCTTTTATGGTGTAAGGAAAAGTGGTATGGTTTTTCCCCCTCATTTTCTAGGACTGCCTATAATTCAGTACCCCCACCTTCACACACACATACACACACACACACACACACACACATTTTTAGTAATGGGTCCTTTCTGTCTCTGGAAACGAGATAGAAATGGCCAGCTCCTGCAGTACACCTTGGCTTACACTGCATGATCCCTGTAGACAAGCCAGTGTTCTGCCTCAAATTCCAAATGAGGTTTTAATGGACAGAGTGTCGATTCAGGGCAGGGCCAAAGTTCAGAGCCTCCAGAAGAGTGTGCTGACGCAATAGATGGCCAAGTGCTCCCCAGGAGCTCCTGGATAGTCAACCTGTGGACAAAGGGACACTTGGAAAGTTTTCACTTGTATTCTTTCCCTCGGTTGCTCCTCCTCCCCAAGGGTGATTTGACTGCCGGTCTTTTTCCCCCCAGATTAGAAAGACCAACTAAAGCAAAGTAGAATAGTTGTTCTAAGGCAGCAGAAAATGAGACAGTTTGAATTATTTTTTAACCCTCGTGCAGAGGGGATGACAGTTAAATCAAACAGTTTGCTTTTCCTCTTTGTGCTCAGGTTCTCCTTTTCTTCATTCTAACCAGGGGATGATGCTCAGTTTGAGATGGACATCTGACTGTCCTGAGAGCATCAGAAGAAAAGCAGCAACACTGATACCTGTGTGTACCTGATTTGGCTGATAGGATCAACAGTGCAAAGACCGAAGAGGCAGTACCAGCAGTCCCCGTTGCAGTCTCCACCTCCTCCTCTTCCTCCGGGTGCCAAAGGATGCGAAGATGAGCTGCATCTGATCATTTCTTCTCCCTGTTTCCTATTCCCCTTCCCAGTTAGACAGTTAGATTGAAGGCCCTTGGCATATTTCTGTAGAACTAAGAGCGCACAGAGGAAAACAGTTAACTCTGGTTCCTGTCCACCCTGCCCCATTTTTTTTTTAATCCCAAGTCAACCTACCAATTACTGGCTGGCTGGGAAGTCTGGGGAAGTGATATGGAGTTTTGATGTGTTCAGCATCATTCATATTCTTACCCTCTGTCTCTCTCACCCATGTTTCAGTGCTGCAAGAATCTGGATTTGGGGGCTTGAAAACCATTAGAGGGAAATGGTAAACAGGAAGAGAGCTGCTTTCCCTTTACCTTGAAGTGTTTGTCCTTGGGGACAGAGCACAGTTTGTACAATTCTAGTAGCATTACCCTGTGGCACTGTTCTGAGGTCCATTTCCCCTCCTTCCTCTGGGAGGAATGTCTTGTCTTTAGTATTAACATTTCATCTTCCCGTTCCTTTACTTAGCACAGTTGTGCAACAATTTCGTTACATCAGAAAAGAGTCCTCAGTAACTAGCTGTTCTTTCCTCCTTTTCTCCCGTTCCTCCCTGCTTGCATCTCATTGCTTGCAGTCGTTTTATACTCTGAGCTCTCTGGGTGATTTCATCTGCTCCCAGAGCAGGCCCGTACCACGTGACAGAGGCACTTCGGATATGACCGATCATAGTATTCTGCAGGGGGATAACCCAAGAATGACCTCGGAAGACATTGAACCCTCTGAGTACCCAGGCTCAGTAGTCATTATTTTTCAGTCCAGTGAGCATTGTGATATTTGTTGTCTCTGATTGTAGTTTCTTGAATTTTAAGTTTAAAGTTGACTTTCAGAATCCTCTTAGAAAAGATCTAAACTTTTTTCCTTTGTGGACCTGCTTTCTTTGGCTGCTGAGATAGACAAACATGGGCTTAAAAATGTGTTCCTCCCAGTTTGCTTGCCCTTCACATGGTACTCTGAATTTCCTTTTCCTTCACTGCCTCCCTCCCTCTCTCTCTCCTTCCCTTTTCTCTGCCAGGCCATTTTTTAAATAGACATCGAAGATACCTCAAATGTTGGTATCTGATAATATCTGTCTCTCTTCTTATCTGAGGAGTGACCTTTTATTTTTAAGATGAGTACAGACCTATTTTTACATAAGTTTTCAGTACAATTTTGAACAGCAACTTTTTAATTACACATCTTCCGGTGTTAGGAAGGTGAGAAATGTCCCTAGGCGAGTCTGCTGTTCCATGTCACCATCCCTTGTCTCCCCTAGTCCCTTAAGAGCTCTTTTCCTTCTCCTAGTTTTGGGTGTGCATGTTTGGAGTTTGTAGTGGGTGGTTTGTGAAACTGGACCATTCTGCCTTCCCTGGGTCCTTCACGAAAGCCTCATTCTTTTCCCTTACCCTTTGCTGCTTCATTCCCCCCCACCCCCCACCCCCGCACGCTGCTGTTCTGACTATTAACTGGCACAGTAATCCTGGGAGAGTGACTACCCTCAGAGAAAGACAAGTAAAAGAGCCACTGATGTCCTGGGAATTTCTGGTTGGATTTGGTGCCCTGAACCCTCTTATTAAGAGATCAGATCCTGGGGTGAGAATAACAGACCAACTGGCTAAGAAAGCAAGCTGTTTGTTTTTCTTTTGAGCGATGAAAAGACCTTGTTTGCGAATACATTTTAGACAGAAGAGAGGAAGAATGTCTGAGGAACTTTGTTCTGTTTTCTGCTACAAAAGGTGAATAGTTCAAAGAGTGAAGCCTTTTGTGATGGTTGACGTCTCAGGAATAAGCTGGATCTCCAAAGTTTTGGAGATGCTTTCAGTCTCAAAAATTGATGATTAGAAAATATTTTTTTGTATATTTGTTTAATGTGTTCCTGTTCTGATTTTAATTAAACTCCAAATTTCACTTTATATACTCTTGGAAAAACTTAAGGTGCATCAGTAACTTGCATGAGAAGCTTGTTCAGGATCTCATTGTCCTCTGGGAGCTTGATTCTTTGGGAATGAAGCTTTCATTTTTCTCAGACCCTGGCCTTGGTGTCCTGTGGAATCTGACTCAACTACAGCTGGTCAGTGTTAGTGAGCAGAAGTGCGTCCCCTGTTTGGTCTTGACTGCTATGCGTGAAAACTTGGCTTCCTCACTGAGCAACAAGGAGTGAATTTAAAAGATGTCAGTCAGCTTGAGTAGTCTCAAGATGCTGTGTTCCCCTTTTTTGCTACCTTGAGGAACTTCTGCAGGTGGCCCCCTAATCAGAGGCCATATTTCTAGTACTTCTTGGGCGTGTCAGCTGTATAATATAGCAGCTTTCCAGTCCTTTAGCTGTCTCTGTAAGGACCTCCATACTGCTTGGTGCATTTCTTTCCTGGAGGCCACTGCTACTAGAGATACTTTGGTCTCCATAAATCGATGCTTTAAAGATAATTTCACGAGGCAGTAGATAAACTTCCAACAGATGACAACTTTGTGCGATGCCTCACAGAAGCATTTTCAGGGCAAGCCAGAATCCAGTGGGTGGCTTACTCCTGGATGTTTGGAAAGAATCTCCCAGTTGAACCCCTAAATGAATAACCTATCCGGGCCTTTTCTTGGGGAGGGAACACCCTTAAGGGTATCATTGAGTGAGATGGTTCTTAAAATCTTAGTGATCTTTTGTACTTTCCTTTTTATGAGGAGAACATGTTTCTGTGCTTGTGGGGACAATCCATCTTCATGAGAAATGACCTTCCTTCCAGATTCCAGCAGGAGACATGCATTGTTGTGACTCTACCTCCTTCATAGGGTGGTGGTACACTGAGTTCACCACTTTCTCATATTCTGTTTATATGGCTATAATGTGCTCAAGAGCACAGTTTAGAGAAGCTGGCTTCTAGCTATTAGGCTTCCAAGCCAAGAGTTTCGTCCTTTCACCTGTTATCTGTTGCTATGTAACAGGTTACCCCCAAACTAAATCTTAAAAGAGCAAGCATTGGCGGTTTCTGTGGGTTAGGAGTTGGGAACCAGCTTAGCATGATGGTTCTGGCCCAGGATCGTAAGAAATTGCGGTCAAAACATCAGCAAAGTCTACAGTCACCTGGGGTTTGAGAATCCACTCCCAGACTCTTTGTGGCTATTGGCAAGATACCTCAATCTCTCCCTATGTGGGTCTCTTTTGTCTCTTTTTAGAGCAGTGTGAGTCTCCTCATACCATGGCAGCTGGCTCCCCCTGAGCGAGTGATTCCAGAGAGAGGGCAAGGAGGACTCTGCAGTGCCTTTTATGACAGTCTCTGAAAGCACACACCATCACTCCTTCCTTATTCTGTTCCTTAGAAGCAAACCACTAAGCCCAGCCTATACTCAAGGGGACGGGAATCACACACACCCTACTGAATGGAGCAGTAAGAATCTGTGGATAGATCTTAAAACCGCCTCACCCCCAACAGAAGGTGAAACCAGATCAACAAGGGGCGGGGGTAGGTTAAAACTAGATGATATACTGAGAGAGGTGGTGTTACTAAAAACAATTCTCTAAGATGTGCATCAGCAAACAAAAAAAGACTCCCCATGGCCACCTGCCTGTTTTGAGAGGGGTGATGAGAAAAGGCAGTTCCCGGGAGGATGTATCTATACGTTTGCCTGATGTATACTACCAGCGGTCCAGGGATGCTTTTTGCAAGTCCTTGGCTTGGGATCTCTAAGGCTCGATACCATTTACTCGTTATCTCCTTTAGCCAGGAATTGACAAAGGGAAGTGAATCCTTCTAGTTGAGCCACGTAAGTGGACTTTGAATCAGAGTTGTCAAGCAAAGGGAGCAAATGTGTATTAGATGTTGGTTACTGGGCTGAAGAAAAGCCAACCGTTTAGATTCAGGGTGAAATAGCTGATAGCATCCGGAAGCCAGGTGTGTGCCAGAGTCCATGCTTAGCACCTGCTCTTGCCAACCATACCAGCTGAAGCAGACTTGGGTCGGGTGTCACCCAAGAAGCTGCTCGATAAAGTAGGGGACATCTGGGAATTAGAAACACCTGTCTGTGCTTGATTGTTCAGGTTAACTGTGTGCTCACCTCATCCTGAGCTTTCTGATGGAAATGAGGTCTTAAAGAGAACCAGCCGTATCTTCACTCTGGAGAGAAACTTAGATGAGGCTTGTCAGTTCAGCACCTTCTTAGTGAATGTCTGCTCTGTGTTTCTGGCACCTGTGTGCAACCAAGCTTTGGAGAGTTCAGACATCTTAAGGATGTAAATTCTTGTTTAACTTTATACTCCACCTTTTGCACTTACCTATAGCTGTGCTTGCTTTAGAGTATACTTGAGTAAAAAGCATTGCTGCTGAAGCAGCTATTTTAAAAAAAGTACTTCTCCCAGAAGTAAGGAACTCATCTTTAAAGCACCTTCAAATGAATTTGTTTCCTTCTAATTTTTTTCATAACAGTCGGTCTTTTATATTTGCTGTTGGCTTACCAGCTCTTTGGATCTCTGAGACCTTACCTTCCCAATTCAAACATTTCCATTAGAATGCAACCTGCTAGACATTTGAGCTTTCACCCCAGAGGCTTTCATTTGGCCAATGCATATTGACTCCCTGCTTTGAATCAAGGCACCTGGTGTAAGGGGCTCATCGTGTTGGCAGCAGTATCCCAGAAATGGAATCTTTTTCCATTGTCCCTGTCTTGGAGACTTGATGGGGATTAGGTATCTTGGCTGCTTGAAACCAAGGCCCTCAGCTCTTTGCATTCCCCTCTAGACAGGAGGCCCACTGCTTTTCTTTACCTGGGTCAGAACTTTCCCCTCTTGGCATGTTTCTCTACCACATGCATATGGGCAGCTATTTATTATCTGCGAAACCCAATCTCTTACCCACCCATGACATCTGAGAGGAAGGAGTATTTGTTTTAAAGAAGCACTGTTTCTTTGGGAGGGCAATTTCTATCTGGACTTTGAAAGGGGCATAGTTACTGTGCATTACTACCCCCCACTACCACGAAATTCTTTCCCTCTCTCTTTTAATAAAAGGTGGCATTAGACTTTGAGGCAGTTGGGTCCCAGTTCTTTAGAATGCTTATCCCCCCAGCAGCATTTCCTGTTCTAGCCATGTTTTTCCAGGTGACTATTGGAGTTTCCCTGAGGCTGGCTCACAAATGTTTCTCACTGCAGACTAAGGGTGATTGGTACACGCTTGATTTTTCAATCATTCATGTCACCTTTCCCACGCTATGGAAATTACGTTTCTCTCTCTAGGCTGGTCCTGGAAAATTGATACCTTTTGGCAAAGCTTAGATTTAGGAGAAGTCTTTTCAAGTCCTTGTTCAGGTGGTCTGTGGTTTTCTCTTTGCTTCCTCTGCCTGCAACCCTGGCAGATCATACTGTTTGGATCCCAAATAGAAAATAGTAGTGAGATGAAACACATTCCTGGGGTATTTAAACTCTTACTCTGCCACCTTTCTAAGAGTGGGAGGCTGGCAGAGAGATGCTGCAATGCTTGATAATCATTTGGCCACATTGGAATTTCCAAAGGGAGCTCTTGCTGGTGCTTAAAACCAAAATTCCCGGACATCTGAGTTTCCATGAATGTAGCACAGGTTGCCCCAATGTACCTTCTTCCTCTCCATCTTAATCTTTAAAAACAAAAACCCAGGCCCAGGCCAAGGGTAATTTTTACTTGAAACCAGGAGACTAGGGGAGGAACACTAGCAACAAGGGACAAGCTGTGTGGGTGAGCCATCCTGCTCCTGCTGTCTGTTCCCATCACTGAGGACTGTGAGCCAGTGCCTTTCCTTCACCCGGAGATGGAGCCTATCTCTTTCCACCTGGGTGAGGAGACCCTCTGCTACCCAGGGGTAAACCTTAAAGAGGGTGTCTCGGAGAGCCCAGAAGACACTCATATATTTGGGTGTCCATTTTAAGCATCTTTAAAATATTTTATATATTAAAAAAATGCCCTTCCCTGTTTTCATGCCACCAGTGGCCCAGTTCCATCCATTCTGAGTGGAAAAGCAGAGACTGCCAGTACTTTCCTTGGTCTTCCCTTCATCTCCCTTGATGTGAGTGTCCCCTGACCCCTCCCATCCATTTCATTGTAGTGGATGGAGAGCAGAGGGCACCATGCAGTCCTGAGTGATTCCGTGATCAGGTTTTTGTTTTTCTGTGTTTCCAAACCAGC